TACCTCAAAGCTAAGAATTTTTTTTTAAATCAGATTTTGAGTGTTTGAGAATTCTCATCAAGAAAATGTGATGAATCCATTTAGAAACAAACTAATTCAACGTATAGTGTGGTCAAGTTATGACAACCTTGGATGCACTCTCAACCAATTTTTAATGATTACTGTCAGAGCAGTTCTTTTCTGTTGAAAAGTAATTGCCTATGATATGTAGGAGGCCAGATTAAATAATCCTGACTATTCCTTCTGGTCAAAGTCTCTGAAATTGGGGAAAAAATTACTTGGAGTTAAGCTTAAGTATAAAAGGAGGGATAATGGTCAAGATATACAGAATATCTATATATCTAAATATATCTATAGGTAGATGTAGATATAATATAGATACATAGCGTGTGTGTATACTACTGAACTGTAACAATTCTACAATCAAGTTGCATTTTACGTGTTTGGGGCTTTTTTATCAGTGTCTTTTTGTATGCATCATGGACTTCGTACATTCCTATATATTAAAGTGAAAATAGCTTGTTGGTAAGGATCAAGCTAAAAGTTTGGGATTCCAGTATGGTTTACATTAATCTCAGAGAACTAAAATTTCAATCGTGTAGAATATTTTCTCTTTTCGTGTGTGTGTACATTAAGTACTGTTGCTTTGGTCATACTGTATGCTCATCTGTACGACAAATTTGAGATTCTTCAAGGACTGTGAAAAAGAAAAGGAGGCAAGGCAGAATCGTACTAGACAGACAGCAGGAAATGCGGTTCTGCAGCAGGTTTAATGAGATGAACAAGACCAGACCTAAGGGATCAGGGGGGAACTGAGAACAAGGTGTTAAGTCTCCGCAAAATTGTGATAACAGTATCAAAAGGATTTTTTTCCCTTCCTAAACATATTGATATATGCCCATTTATCTGTGATTTTTACATTTTCTGTGATGATAAACAGTTTCTTGCTTTCTGCAGCTGAAATTTTTCATATGTATCAGACTATATATTTGAATCCTAGTCTGTTCACTCTGTCTTCATTCCAGCAGTTGCAGTGGTTATAGTGTTAAGAGATATGTAATTACTTGGAGGAGGGGAGTGAATACTGGGACATACAGAACTTGCAGAGTGAGTGGATTTCAGTATCCTTGAACTGTGTGCTTGTCAGCATACCACAAAAAAAAAACCCCAGGCTTATTCCCTTAAGGAAGGGAAATATTTGAAATGCACAAAATGAAAAGCTCACTGTGGAGCTTTGTTCTAGTAATTTCTGTATCTGGAGTTTCGGGTGTTACGTGCTTCTTCAGAGGTAATTGAGCTACCCTTTGGACTCTTGGTAAATATATACAGTGCAAACTTTCTTTCTTAGTTTAATTCTTCATTTTCTTAGTACCTGTACTTATGTAGGTATATTGGAAAAACTGTTTGCATGCCTGGGGTTTTGAATCTTTGTAGTATTTTTATGTAATATTTGATGATCAGATTTTTATTTGCTGGTATCTTCAGAGTAACAAATTGGAGTAACATCTGCCTAAACTAGGGAAGCATTTTAGAACTTTTAGTAATCCTACCTGTTGTATTATGTTAGAGCAAGTTGTTAAAACAGTTTATATACATTTAAGTGCCCAAATAAAACCATCAATTTTTGCTTTCAGACCCCTCATTTTTTTGTTGGGTTTTTTTTTTTTGTTCACCCACTGATTTGTCTGTGTATTTTATCCTGTTAGTTTGCTTTAACTTTTTCATAGCTGATGCTGTGCCTACTTTTTAGTTGGCATATACTGCAACTGCAGTGTATGCCTTGCTTGCCTTGTGAAGCTTGAATGCTAGTGTGTTAAGTAATTGCATGTTGTGTACTAAGACAGTCACTAAAACTTCATTGCAGTCACTTTCAGACTTTTTTGTCTCATTAGAAGAATGTGACATTCTACTTAAAAAAGTGAAATAAATCTTATTGACCAGGCTGTGGGGTGGGGAGGATATGAAGGTTATACTGTGTATGCTTGGCTGAGCATGACTAGCACTGAAAACTTGGTTTTTACTTTAGTTGAGTATTACTGTAGTTTGTTAAATAGTTAAAACATGCTTTACTAAGAGAGGAGAAAAAACCCCTATAAACAATTTTTGCTGATGATTTTCTGACTTACACGAGCACTTTTTTGTGAAAAGTGCCTTTCCCTGTGAGACTGTATGATTTTGCAGCAGGAATTTTGAGTATATGGTCTACGCATAGTTTATAAATTACAGCAGCAGATTGATTTCTTTCAGATTCCTGTGGAGAACAGCACTGAAACTGGTAGTTGGGATACTTTGATTTAATTTTTTTTTTTCCAAAAGTCAGTCAGTCACTTCTGTTCCATAACATTTAAATGGGATTTAATACTTTGTATGAAGTAGTTGCATAGGCAGAAATGTTGCATGTGTAGGATGTGTTGCATAGTAAAAAGAGTATTAAAAATATTCTTTTAAAAACAAGTAAGATGTTTTTGTGTCATTCATATGTTTGGTAAACTTAAAGTGAATTCTACACAATATAAATACACTTTTCTTTATAAAGGTGACATAATGAATATTGAAAAAAACACATATATCCTTAAATTAGAATTTAATTCATAGTGTCTTTACTTAAGTTTTCATCAAATTATGCAGGATTGAAGAGGCTCACACACTTTTAAGTGGAGTAATGCCTGAGCTCTGTAAGCTAATCATATTACTAGTCCTCAAAGGACGAAATCTTCTTGCCATTGCAAATTATTGAAGGTTTTCTGTGAGTGGTATGGCACTGTATTTGGATTGATCTAGTGGTCAGTTCCCATTAAAAGCTTTAGGACATCTGTTCCCACTGTTTCGTGTTCATCCTCAGGAGTCAGTTGAGTTTGTGAGTTTCTTCATTGGCTACTGCACAATTGTCTAAGGAGCAGGGGCAGCTCAGTGGAAGTAACAGAGTCAGGACTGCTATTTTCAGTGACAACTGGTTGTTAAATACACTCAACTTGCAGAGTTAAACTTCACCTTCATATTCGATATATGAGATACATGAATGTCTGCATTAAAATGTTTTCACTTCAACTTCATTTGCTATATCACCATAAATTTCACCCAGAAGAGTAGGAAGGTTTTGATGAAAACAATTCTTGTTCAACAGAAGGAGAAATTAGTATAATTTGTGTTTTGTTTTTTTTTTTCTTCTTTTCTGTAGGTTTAGTTCAGTCTTGTGTATGATTCTGGAATCTGATGCTTTCTAGATCTCTAAGTCTCTCTTCTGAACTAAACTTGATTTTCTTAATTTTGATTTTTTGTAATTCCTTTTTTGAAATGTTCCTTTTTTTCTTTCCTTTTTTTTTTTTTTTCTATTTAATTCCATTCCCTCTTTATAGTTTCATATATGGAGGGGAAAAAAATCAAAACGCCAAGCATGCCTCCTTCCAACCAACCAAAAACCTTCCATCCCAACCAACCAAAAAAAACCCACCAAAGAATACTAAAAACCCACCCCAAACACAAACCAACCGTCCCAAAATACTACAAACCAAAGTAACCCCCCTTTGAATTATGCCACTGGAGCATTTAATTAAGTGCCAGTGTTGTTTGAATTGGTGCCTTTTGGCTGTTGCAGCTGGAGAAGTAACATTATAATTGTTGGAAATAGAGATTTGAGTTGAGTAATAGACCTAAGGTAAAGATGTTCAGGTGTTTGACTTGTCTAATATTGGTTTAGCATTTCAACAAGATCACATTCCGTGTACGAACATGAGTGATGAGGAACTTCAGCCAGTTCACAGACTTGACTTAAAACATTGGCTATATAATCCTGTACTGGTTGAGTGTAGTTTTTCTGTGATAGAAAGTTTATGAGAATTTATGTTATGTTTAAATAGTGTTCTAAGGATGTACTTTGGTTATATTTTTCTCATTTTTAGGCATCATGCTTTTGCTTCTCTTGATGATTGCACATTTTTCATAAGCAACATCTTTAATTTCCCTTTTTACAAAAAGTAAATAAATTTGACTTTCCTTTTTCTTATATAGTAAATACATAGTTGAAGTGTGGGTGGAAGGAAGAGAGAAAGGGCTTTGAACAATTTTTTGAATGGATTATATGGTACCATCCCATCTCGCTTAAAATTAATGAGCTAGTTTAGTTGCCCCAACAGTAATGGGCATTAGTTAAAATAAACTATCTTCCTTGCTAATTTGCATCTGGTATAAATTTGACTTTTAATTTTATGTTACTTTTAAATTAGCCTTGAGCTATAAGATGTAATATTCTATTTTTTTAGGAAAAAACATTACAGCTGCTTTTATAACTGCATCACTATAGCATACGTGCAAACCGCCTTACAGGCCATGTAAGTAGTGGAAAGGGAAGTCACGTTTTTCCTCCCTTGTATAGCTAGCCAGCTTGTGGGTTTTTCTCTCTTTTCCATTAGCAGACAACTTCTAACAGTTATTTTCCTACTTATTTTTCTGTTTTGAAACATAAAGAGTCCCTGAAAGGGACTTGAGTTTTTCTCCTAGTCTATTGCATTTTATCTTAGAATTTTAAAATGCAAACTCAATCAAATTTCTAGTTGAATTTTTCCCCTCTTTTTTTTTTCCTTAGCAAGCATAATGTTAAATCATAAATATGTGTGCAAATCACCACTACCACTAGTAGTGGTAGTGCAAGAATACTTCACTCTGGAAAGGGATTTTTGTGTTATTCATCATTTAAACGAAGGAGAACTTAAAGGAAGTAGGGGTGAGGAGAAAAAAAAATGAGGTTTGTTCTTTCTTCTGTGACTTACACTCTATCGACTTTTACAGTGTTTTTCCTTAACTAGATTGTCTTGTATTACGGCTTTTTGAAATTTCAGTCTCAAGTAAAAAGAAGAGATAATTTATATTCATCACAGGGGGGGGAAAAACTTAACACCTCCCCCCCACACACACAAACAAACCCTTATTCCAACTTTTCATGCCTCTCAAACATCTTAAGGAAGCAAAATAGGGCACAAGCCCAATGTTTTTTTGCTTTTCAGGTCTCCTTTAACAGCAGAGACAGCCATGATCCAGCAGTTTTGGAGGTAGAGGCAAGTAAATGTTTTACTTCTTGTAAACATTCCAGTAAGTTTTTGCAAATCACCTATTATTTGAGGAGACTCTGGTTGAAAAAGAATCTCAGCCCCTTCCCTAAATGGCTTTGTATAATTCTATGTGAGGAAAATGATAGTTAAGTTCCTATTGATTATTGACAGGCTTCCCATGAGTTATACACTGTTGCAATATCTAACTGCAAAAATATGCAAGTTTAATATTGGTAAGATTTTTGTGACAATAGTTGCTGAAGTTTTTTCTTTTGAACCTGTCTTCAAAATGTAAATTGTTTTCAGTGGCCCATCATAGTGATTTTCTTTCTAAAAAAAAAATCTGTGTCTACTGTTTTCTACCTCCAAATGCTGGTATTCAAATCATCTCTCTGGCATTCTTTCTAAGGACATTTTAACAAGCTTTTAAGTACTAGTAATAAACCTGATTATTTCTCTGCTAGGGACATTTCTGAGAGCTCATGTTGATTTTCTTCTGAAGATACCACATCCTCTAAGGGCTGTATTGGAAGTACAGGAAGAATTGTCCATCTCTTTTGCTGAAATTTTTTGGACCTTTCTATTCCTTATCGTGAATAAAACCAGACAATTTGCATTGTTTCATAACAATAGAGGATTGCACGTATTGGAGTCTTTCAGTCAACTTCTCTTTTGGGAGGTGGAAAAAAATGTTCTAGTCCATGTTAGAGGGTTACAGTGGAAACAGGAAAGAAGCTAGACTTTGATCAGTTAATGTGAGAGAATAGTTCGGTGGGATAAAAAAACTTCCTAGTTAATAAGCTGTATTGACCCAAATAAATAGAGGTGCCATTTTGAGAAGGGACAGGATGGGGAAAAAAGCAGCCAGATCTGGAAGTGGGAGGTCAGCACCTGTTAGTTGGCAGTACATCTTTGTAATTTGTTGGAAATGCATTTTGAAGAAAATTATTATGCTTTGTGCTTTCCTGAAGCACAGGGAACATTTAGAATGAAGGAATTTACCTTTCTGTCTAGGATGTTAGCAAAGTGTGGAATTACTCTTGTCCTCAATTCGCGTGCAGTGCTGTCTTACTTTCGAAGGTGGATGAAACCACTGTAGAACATAAGAAAGGCATGCACATAATGACCTTTTTTACCCAGTCTTACCGTCTTCAGCATTTGTAATTCAGAAGTACATTAATTAATTGACTTTGTGTGGGCAGATAAGCATGCAATCTGAAAATGTATATAATAGACATTTTAACAAAAGAACCTTGGAACTTGTCTTCTGAAGAGTAGAAGCAGTTAATTATTTTAATAACTTTTGCATGTCTCTAATAATGTACTGGAATGTATTAGAACCTGCTTGCTGTTAGATACCTTCAGACTTCATTAACCCATCAAGGATTTGCTTTGCTTCTGCACCTTTATACTATAATGACGTTCTGTTTGGTTCTTTTAATCTGTATTTATTCATAACACTTCTCTACTCAGTAATATCTTGGGTAGCTGAGGCAAATGGCTAGATCTACCCATGTGGCACTGTGTTGAAAAAGTGGAACTTGTAAGTTTTTGTAAGCCTTAATTTTTCATATTATGGTGACTTGCGATAGAGATGTGATAATTTGGTTAATAATAGATCTTGGTTTGCACGCTCAGTTTAACTCAAAATGATGCAAATGAAGATGTCAGCAAATTCACTATATTTAATGAGCTTTTTAAAAACTACATTTTTGTACATTTTACCAGAATCTGTGAGATTTAAAAAGTATGTGAAACCGGATGTCTTTTTTAAAGGATGATATCATGTCCTAAACAGCAGTTGTAGGACTGCTAATTGAATGGGATCTTGAAGGATGCATATTTAGACGTTTTCTCCTAAAACCAGTATATATGTAAATATTATGATATTTGACTTTGAATAAAAATTATGAATAGCTTTCACTTTCTTTTGTGTTGATGTAATGAACAGGGATTTTATTACACTTTTTTTTTACAATTTAGAAAGCAGACAGAATTTCCATAATTACTCCTTTACAGAAATTATTTATTTCAATAATTTCACAAGGGTTTTATTTTAAATGTATTATGCAGATACTATATAAAGAGCTGATGGAAGTGTATGGTATTTTAAATTAACTAAAAAAATTGTAGATTTCAGCTCATTACGTATGAAAGGTGTAAAGGCTGGGTTTTTTGTTGGTTATATTGGTCTTTTTTGTTTGGTTGATTTTTTTAAATCACTAGATTGATGTCACCAGAGAGATAAAGAGGGATACTGATTCTGAATATCCATCATTACTGTAGGAAAGGCTTCCCTAATATATTATCAGCTGTATTCTCAAGAGCTGTTGAATATCAGTGCTAGGCTGGCACCCAGCTATACAGTCTAAGTGGCGAGACTATTACTACATTTTAATCTACCCTTGAGAACATGCTGGATACTCCTCATTCTGCAGTCATTATAATCACTAGAATTGTTGCATGAAATTGGTTGTAAAGAAGGTTTGGAACAGTGGTCACACTTTGAGTTATCTAGGTGGTAGCTTGGATGTGTCAAATCCCTTATAATTGTAGCAAGGATTTGGTGCAACTGCTGCAATAAAAGTGTAATTAGAGACTGCATGCAAGGTTTCAGTCATAAATATAAGGGAAGCATGTATGCTGAGGCTATTTGAGGCATCAGTTCTGAGTGCTTTCAAGGCCTCAGCTTTAGTTTGTTAGCCAATATTAATTATCAGTTCTCTACTCAGTGGCAAATTTTGAGTTTTCTGTATTGTTTATAACAACATTTCATTTATTTTTAAAGTAGAAGTTAGTTAATTTAATTTGCATTAGTATCTTGCCCTGATACTTTCCATCTGTCTTGAGCTGTTGTTCAGGTTGTTTGTTTACAAATAGGTTTGTTACGACTGAGTAAGTTTGGAGAGAATGGAATTATTTTAGGAGGGAGTGAAATGATTAAAACCCAAAGATGTATTAAACATATGCTTGTGTAATCACCATAAGAGTAAATTGTTATAGTTTAAGAGTGAACTCGCTGTTTTAATAGTTTAGCAAAGAAAAGAGAATGGAGATAAAAATTAAGCCTAGACTGTTACTATTAAATATGTTAAAATCTAACAGTATTAGCAGTGATAAATAGCTATGTCAAAGGCTATATTCCTCGTTCCACTCAGTATTATACTACTGATTGTGGGTCACTGTTGAAGAAAAAATTTAATAAATCATGGACAACAACTAACTACACCACAATTTTTGCACTGCTTGGAAGTATGTTTCATATTCATACTATGTTAATAAAGCTCACACAGCCCATTCCTCAAACCAGAAAAAAACCCAAAACAAACCAAAACAAACCCAAAACAAAACAAAACAAAAAAACCCAATAAAAAAACCAAAAAAAACCACAAAAAAAACACAAAAAAACAAACCAAAAACAAAACACCAAAACCCACAACCCCCCTCAAACAACAACAAAAAAAGAAAACGGGGAGAAACCAAACAGAAAAACTGTATGAATGGAGACTCAACCTGAATAAAAACATTGCAATTGACTGGTGAGCTTTCTAGCTATAGAGCCAATCAGTTAGTACATGGACTAGAATGACCATGAAATTTACCTTTTCAGTCATTTCAGACTGTAAAGAATGTCTTGCTCTGTCTGGGCGACACAGTATGTTTGGTAACATGCTGTGAACTTACGCCACCTTGTAGCATAATGTCTGTTTAATAGCAGTATTCTGTGGAAAATGTTAGTTACATTAATGAAAGAATTCGACTGTCTTCTCCAAAAGACTCATGGACTGTAGAGGGGTCCACTATTTAGAGCAGAGCAAACCATCATATAAGCACTGGAGTAAGAACCACGGGCCCTGCTTAAGAGTACCTGGTCACTAAGATAAAGCCCTTCTGTAATAGAGTTTCAGGGGACCTGCTGACTGCATAATTAAGTTGGAACATTATTTTTGGTTTCATTCCTCTCTAGCCTAAAAGACAAGGTGTTCTTCTGATGCTTCTAAAAATCTGAAAATTCGCAACGTGGTACTGTGGGATAAATCACTGTGTAAAGAAATGAGAGTGAATAACTGACTGACATATAAATTATATAATTCGTTACTGGAAAGCACTCCTAAGCCATTACAAAAGCCTTAAAAAAAAAAACAGCCTTATGTAATAGGGCAGCATTAGTCCTGCTGTATGATGAAGAGGGGAAGCAGGGCTGCTGAAACCCAGCTGAAATCCTGTGAAATTTCTCAACACTTTTTTAAGAAGAGTGTTGAGATTGCATATTCAGATAGGAAGATGCTAGAATTGGAGTTGCTGGTTATGACCTTTTTGTCTACATGAATTTATTTTTTTGGGGAGTTAATCACTATGTTGTCAGTGACTAGGTTTTTTTCTTCGACACACCCTTCCTTAAAAATATGGGACATAGAATGCTTATTTCTCAGGGAGGCAACTGAGATGAAACATTGGAAGTGAAAGGTGCTGATTGCTTTCACGCCTAATTTGGAATGAAAACTGAGTTTTCAGCATACTTAACTTTAAAATAGCAATTTATGTATTACAGTAAGACTACCTTTGCTGTAAGTGCCACTAATAAGTGCCAACCTGTCCACTGAGTAAAGTAAAGAACATGGGGCTCCCCATCCTAACCCCCTGTTGGGAGTGGCTGGGCTGCTGTGAAGCCTGGCAGAGGAGTAGGTGACGGCTGGCAGCTTCCTACAGAGGGAGATATGCCTGTGCCCTCCTTTGTGCTTGGCCTGCTACTTGAGGAATGTGTCACTGAGCCAGTTCAGCCTGCTAAACAGGCAAAACCTAATCTGACAGCAGTAGTTTGCTGCTATGTTAACTGGCTGTGTAAGGCCCCAGTGGCAAAGAAGAGGGAAGGACAAAGGAATGGACCCACTTCTCTTGGTGGGAGTGTGCAGTTAGCCTTGGCAGCTGAGTTGTACTAAAATCTACAGAAGAAACATTTCTATGCAAGAAAACAGAATAGTTCTGTTTGGGGATTTGGGGCAGTT